GATTTTTACCTTTTGATCTGGACCTTTTGATTTTTACCTTTTGATCTGGACATTTTGATTTTGATGTTTTGATCTGGACCTTTTGATTTTGATGTTTTGATCTGGACCTTTTGATTTTTACCTTTTGATCTGGACATTTTGATTTTGACCTTTTTATCTGGACCTTTGATCTGGACATTTGATCTGGACCTTTTGATTTTGACCTTTGATCTGGACATTTGATCTGGACCTTTTGATTTTGACCTTTTGATCTGGACCTTTTGATTTTGACCTTTTTATCTGGACCTTTGATCTGGACATTTGATCTGGACCTTTTGATTTTGACCTTTTTATCTGGACCTTTGATCTGGACATTTGATCTGGACCTTTTGATTTTGACCTTTTGATCTGGACCTTTTGATTTTTACCTTTGATCTGGACCTTTTGATTTTGATCTTTTGATCTGGACCTTTTGATTTTGATCTTTTGATCTGGACCTTTTGATTTTGACCTTTGATCTGGACCTTTTGATTTTGACCTTTTGATCTGGACATTTGATCTGGACCTTTTGATCTGGACCTTTTGATTTTTACCTTTGATCTGGACATTTGATCTGGACCTTTAGATTTTTACCTTTTGATCTGGACATTTGATCTGGACCTTTTGATTTTTACCTTTTGATCTGGACATTTGATCTGGGCCTTTAGATTTTTACCTTTTGATCTGGACCTTTGATCTGGACCTTTTGATTTTGACCTTTGATCTGAACATTTGATCTTGACTTGAATAGAAAGCTCAAGAAACCCTGAATAATTCTGTTTTTGTCCACAGTTTGTTAAAATTCTGTTTCCTCCCAGGTCGTCTGGCGCAGCCTCTGATCAACCGTCTGAGTCTCTCGAGCTCGAAGCTGAACAGCCTCGCCATCGGCCTGCGCCAGCTCGCCGTGTCCTCCAGGACCAGCGTGGGCCGAGTGCTGAGACGGACCAGGGTGGCCAACAACCTGGAGCTGGAACAGATCACCGTCCCCATCGGGGTCCTGCTGGTCATCTTTGAGTCTCGTCCCGACTGCCTCCCGCAGGTCCGACCTGTCTGATGCTCGTCACGTGGAGCTTGTCGTTCGGCTAAAACAAATAATTAAAGTTTTACGTTAAACCCTGGGTTGCAGGTGTCGGCTCTAGCGATCGCCAGCGGGAATGCTTTGCTCCTTAAAGGCGGCAAAGAGGCGTCCAACACCAACAAAATTCTGCATCAGCTCACTCAGGAAGCTCTGTCGATTCACGGCGTGGCAGACGCCATCCAGCTGGTGAGCTGCCTTTTGTGTTGAGTTCCCTCCGAGTCACGATGTTGTGTCGGCTCAGCGTTTCTGTCGCCGCCTAGGTGAGCACACGCGAAGAYGTCGAGGATCTCTGCAAACTGGACAAGATGATCGACTTGATTATTCCGAGGGGCTCGTCCCAGTTGGTCCGGGACATCGAGAGGGCGGCTAAGGGCATCCCTGTGTTGGGCCACAGCGAGGGCGTCTGTCACGTCTACATCGACAGCGAGGCCAGCATCGACAAAGCTATCGACGTGGGTCAGTTCATGGTTTTGTTTAAAGTTATTAACTTCTTGGTGCGGCCTGGAATCAGTGACAGAAGATAAAACCTTTTTGTTTCCAGTCAGGGACTCCAAATGTGACTACCCTGCAGCCTGCAACGCGATGGAGACCCTCCTTATCCACAGAGACCTGCTGCGGACCCCCACGTTCGACCAAATCATTGACATGCTGAGAACTGAAGAGGTAAGAAACACAGACTGATGCTGATTCACAGTAAAAATAGTAGTTTTCAGCCTTTGACCCTCATAGCAGCAGAGACCTGAGCCCCCAACTGCTGTTGGATCATAAACATTGTTTTCACGTAAAAAAAAAAAACAGCTTAGTTACAATATTCTTTATGCTATTTTTGTCCATTTTAAGTACACTAACCTTACT